CTGCGAAGCGGTGGAAGGGGATGGAGGCCGAGGGGCCGGGGACCGTCTCTGCCACCCACCGGCAGGGGCAGCCTGGGTGGCCTGGGTCCCCTCTCCCGTGCGGTCCCCGTGCGCTGTGTCTCAGCAAACTGATTCAGGCCTCTGACCTTTCAGAGCAGAGACTCATTCAGGAAACAGCCATGACACAGACGAGGAGCCCCTGAAGGAGTCGAGGCTGAAGGAGGCATTCTTGTGAGTCTGCCTCGCTGCCCCGCTCGCGTTGTCTGCTGTTTTCCCCTTCCCTCCAACCCCTGCATGCAGTTGGCTGGAAATTGCTTCTGCTTACCTTGAACCGAGCAGTGAGGTGTTGGAAGAGACATTTGATTCCTGAGGAGAACCTGGCCATGGAGCCCTCCTCATTTCCGGAGGACCCGCAGGTCCTCCCAGGTCTCTGCACACCCTCCCTGTCTTGAAGCAATTAGTGCCACATTTGCATTTGTTCCATCTGCTCTGAACAGTTGGAGATCAAAGCTCCCTGGGAAGCTCTGCCTCTCTGATCTCCCCCTTTTCCTGCTCGTTGCAGTTGTTTAGAGTTCTTACTGGATAATGGTGCTGACCCATCCCTCCGGGACAAGCAGGGCTATACTGCTGTCCACTATGCAGCTGCGTACGGCAACAGGCAGAACCTGGAGCTGGTGAGTGCGGCAGGGACACCCCCGTGCTGCCCGGAGGGAGAAATCCCTCCCCAAGGCCATGCTGGGGCCCTCCGGGTGACGGGATGATGAGGAGGGTTTGCTGATGAGGAGGGTTTGCTGATGAGGAGGGTTTGCTGATGAGGAGGGTTTGATGATGAGGAGGGTTAGATGATGAGGAGGGTTTGCTGATGAGGAGGAGGGTTAGAGGGCGGGTTGGGCTTTCCGAAGAAAGCCTGGAGACCTGTCCCAGGGAGGCGAAGCAGCCCTGTGGTTGTGCTGGAATTGCCTGCACGGCTACGGCTCAGCCCAGGGCTCTGTGGGGACAGGAAGCTACATGAGGAGTGGGGAGGCTTCTTGTCACCCGCTGCAGACAGAGGTGCCTCTCGAGGCCTCCACCATAGAGGCTTGTCAAGGATCTCCCATGCTTACGTGTTTTCCTTGTTTCTGCAGCTCCTGGAAATGTCTTTTAACTGCCTGGAGGACGTGGAAAGCACCATTCCAGTCAGCCCTTTGCACTTAGCTGTGAGTGCGGCCAGCCGAGCCCCCGAGCGGCCCAGGGCGCTTGGGGACCCTTGGGGGACCCATGGGGGCTCTCGACGCTGAGCGGGGCAGGGAAGGAGAGGGGCTGGCGGCTCCTTCCCGCGCTTTGGTTCCTGCTGTTTGGAGCCACCTCCCTTCCCGCGTCGGGGAGGCCGGGGGGATCCGCGGGAGGCCCCGGCTGAGCATGGGCTGCCGGGACCCGGCGATGGGGATTTGTCCCAGTCCCAGGATCTCCCGGCTGCCGTCCCCCGGGCCCTGCTCCTGACACGGGCTCCGCTTCGCCCTCAGGCCTATAATGGTCACTGTGAAGCCCTAAAGACACTTGCCGAAACCCTCGTGAACCTCGACGTGCGGGACCACAAGGGGCGGACAGCGCTGTACCTCGCCACGGAGAGAGGCTCCACGGAGTGCGTGGAGGTGCTCACCAGCCACGGTGCCTCCGCCCTGGTCAAGGAGAGGAAGAGGAAGTGGACGCCCCTCCACGCCGCAGGTGAAGGCTCCGCGGGTGGCCAGGGGGCTCGTGCAGCCCTCGGGGGCTGCAGCTCCGCTGCTTGCTGGGCTAAGAGGGTGTTAGAGCGGCCTTGGGCAGCGGTGACAGCGGCGCCTGTCACCCGGCTGCAGGTGAGGACGGTGCTGACCGCAGGGATGGGGTGGGGGTGGCTGCGGGTGGCAGGGGCCAGCAGCGGCTTCCGCACACGTGTCCACAGCGGCGCCCGTGCACGCGCCAACGAGCCCTGCAGCCCAGCGACCTGTAACGAAGCCGCCTGGCCGCGTGCGCTGCCCAGCACGAGCCCGGTGCTTTGCTCGTGCCGCTGCCGTCACTTTGGCTCGCGGCAGGGTTGGAAGGAGGGGACCCGGCGGGACGTGTGTGCGACTCCCTCTTTCCTCACCTTTTCTCCAGCTGCCAATGGGAACACGGATTCCCTGCACCTCCTGATAGACAGCGGGGATCGGGCGGACATCACCGACGTCATGGACATCCACGGCCAGTGAGTTTCTCTGGGCATTTCCCTGTGCAGGACGCGCCGTCTGTGCCTCCTCTGCTGCAGGGACCAAACCTGAAAATCAGTAGGAAATTGGCAGCCCCGCTGGGAGCAGAGCTCCCAAACGTAGCTCCCAAACATGGCTCCCACCGCGCCCGGGCCGCGCCCGGTCCCCCCAGG